TATATATATATATATTGCATAATATAAATATTAAAAGAAGTTCCTGTTTATTTATCACCGAAATAAAAGCAGTTATTTTGCATTTGGTTTTTAGGTAACACTTTATTTTAAGGTGTCCTTGTTACACGTTACATGTACTTACAATTATAATAATAATTACATGCAAGTAACCCTAACCATATAGTAAGTACATGTAGTTAATTAATATTACTCAGTACTTATAATATGTGTAATTACACTGTAACAAGGACACCTTAAAATAAAGTGTAACCGGATTTTATCTAGTCTAATAAGAAATATCGTAACCCTTGGCAGTTTGATGAACTATTGAGTCAACAATCTTAGAAAAAAAGGTGTGAAGCTGTCACTGGGTACAAAAGCTAAAAGGTACATCTTATTTACCCATAAATGGTACATTTTAGTACCTTAAAAATACATATTAGTACCTTTTGAAAGGGCATTGCCCCAGAGGGAAAACAGGGAAATGTAAGGTCAGGTTGAGAGCATTGCTTATGGGATACATTATGGCGTTCAGTGTACTCTGTTGTTTACTGCTCATTCTGGTAAATGTCTGTCATCCTGCTATTCTACAGATACAGAAAACGAACATGCTTATAGTACACATACTGTGTGCTACAGAAATAGTTTGAGTATATGGTGGTCCAGTATGTTTGTTCACTAGGGAGCAGCGGGGTGCAGGACGCATGTTAGGCTCACTGACCCCCTCTGCTGGAAAGGGGACACGGGGAACGGGGAACGGGAACCTTTTCTGGACAACCATCCCATTCTACACAACAACAATAAACAAAATAGTGCCATCAAAGAGATTTTAATGCTTTGTCACTTGCTAGTATGTTTTGAACATGAGATATTAAATTGTCTGTCAAGCTATTGCTCTGTTACTAAGAAAACTACCATCTTAATTTAGAAATTAAAAAAAAAAAAATTCGCTTTAACCCTAAAACATATAGTAAATTAAACAGGTAGAACTTTAAAATTAATTATATTTATTTATATTTTTATTAATAATTATAAATTAATATTAATGTCAACATTTACTACATTATTTAAAAAAAAAGTTATATCTGCATGTTGTTTCGTGGATTTGAGTTAACATGAACTAACAATAAATAGTTACCATTAGCTGCTATTTATTTTGCAACACAAAACACTAATCTTGGTGTGTTGTGGATCCTCAGCGAGCGTCAGCTGCCCACGGCTCGTGTGATTGAGAGTCTCTCAGCTGAACCTCCACACAGCCCATTCATCACCCTCAAGCAGACACATAGTGCATGTGAAACTGTATGGTTTTAGGCAGACGCTCTGGGACAGCATTGCCTGCATCTGAGAAACCTCTGGGAAGCTATGCGAGTTCTCAATGTATCATGTAAATGTATACTGCAATCTGATTAAAACTTTAAAAAATGTTTTCGTTTTTTGTTCGCTGAACAGAGATATATCATCTAAATAAATCTAGAATGGTTCATATTATGTTTGCATTTTCTATATATTTAATACAGTCCTGTTGAATTAAATTAAAAAATAGGGTAAAATAGATACAAACCCAGCAATTGGGTTGTTTTGACCCAGTGGTTGGGTTACTAACCAGAAGGTTGGGTTAAACATTTAACCCAACCGCTGGGTCAAAACAACCCAATTGCTGGGTGTGTCCCTATTTTACCCAGCACTGGGTTGTATTTAACCCAGCATTTTTTAGAGTGTAATTATGACAGAAAAAGTTTAAATTATGATGTAAAAAGTAATCAAATCTGATTTTTTTTTCAAAGTTACAATTTTCATCTGCTCAAGCAGAAATGTTAATGTCATCTTGTGCTTTAGCAAGGTGTCTCTGGCTAAAACTAGCTAACGTTAAAGTTAGTGAGTCCATACAAACCTAAATAGCAGACTGTTCTCGCGTCTTGTACAGTGAAGGGCAAAAACACATAAACGAAGGTCTACATTTCACGGTCTCTTCATATTAAACTGTTATCGCGATCGTTTTTTTTTTTTTTTTTTTGCGTGCCCACTTGTGATTTTATTTGTTTTGTGTTATGTATTTAAATCCCAACAATAATTAATAAATCAATTTATATACGTTTTTAAAAGTAGGTAAATAAATAAACGAACAAAGAAATCTTTCATCTTAAAATCTGAAAAGCTCTAAGGCTGCTGTCGATCTTTATACAAAAATACAATTATAGCTAATACATTAATATAATACTGGCGTGTTTATGATAAAGTCCAAACTATTTGGGATTTCCGTGGCCTTGTGAATTGTCTCTGAGCGCTTTCCAATAAAGCTCGAAAGCAGCGACCTTGCGTCGACGTCACACCAATATCCGGGGCCTTGCGCAGTGTCAGTTGTGCGCAGCCGCAGAACAGCCGGCGGTTCGACCTCTGCCTTCGGTGAGTCGGGTAGCGTTCACACCAGATACATCAATCTACATTCATCCTCAGTCTGCATCGAGTCAGAGCTGCGGGGTTGATCGGGATAGCATTAGGAGACTTATCCGCTGCGTACGACAGCCGTATTTGTGAAGCTCTTCTTATCAATCTTTTCTGACCTTATATTTTGTTTTTGCAGAAGCCTCAAAATCACTCACCTTTCAACATGCTGCTCACCTGCGCGAAGTTCGCCTCCACACCCGCCCTGGTGAGTGAAGTTTGCTTCAGAAAACAGCGCTGTTGTGCTTGACGGGCTGTGTGAATGGCCGCGGCCTGCAGGCTGAACTTGGCGACAGTAATTCATTCATTTCTAGACGCGTTTGAGCGGGCTGTTACACTTGACCTTTGACCTTTTGCTTCACTTTCGAAGTTTTGAGTTCGCAAAACGCTTAGCGGGTTGAGGTCAAGCGCGGGGCTGGTTAATAACATCCATCTCGTCCGCCGCCGGTGTTAGTGGATGGTGGTTGAGCCGCCCAGTCTGGTGTTTCTGTAGAAGAAGGGCAGACAACTACTTCCTGTCCTGTTGTGTTTCTGCCGCCTCAAATAGATTGGCTTTAGTTTTTGAGTGGAGTAACCTGGAGTCTTTATCAAGGGCACACTGGATGGGTCTGAACCTGCCACATTTAAGTTATCAGCCCAGTTTAACAGGCAGCTTGTTTGTTTTGGCATCTGTGTAGTACCAACCTTGTTGGTTAACACCATTATGGTGATGAGTTTTAAAGGAGCTGAAGACTTTTTAGCCTAATACTCCTTATAGAAATGTTGTCATAAATCAGCGTTGCGTGCATTTGTCCTGTGGCGGACCTTGAGCCATAACTTACGCACATACTACTTTTTCCAGAACTCATGCCTTTCAGAAGACTGTCAGCTGCTGTTCACTGTTCAAATTCGCCACTCTTTTTGACAGCTGTCTAGGTTGTTATGCTATAATCCAATAACACGGTGTATTTGTGTGTGTTTTAGGTGCGTGCGGCATCCAGGTCCCTGTACAGGCCAGTTTCTGCTGCCGTACTTTCCAGACCAGAGGTCAAACCAGAGGTGACGGTCAAACCTGCAAATATCTCTTTGCATTCGTTGAAACTCTTAAAGGATTAGTTCACTTCCAGAATAAAAATGTCCTGATGATTTACTTCACCCCCATTTGATCAAGATGTTCGTGTCATTCTTTCTTCAGTCCAAAAGATTGAGGAAAACATTTCAGGATTTTTCTCCATATAATGGACTTCAATGGGGATCAACGGGTTGAAGGTCCAAATTGCAGTTTCAGTGTGGCTTCAAAGGGCTCTTCAGGATCCCAGCCAAGGAATAAGGGTCTTATCTAGCGAAACAATCGGCCATTTAATAAAAAATTAAAAAAAGTCTATACATTTTAACCACAAATGCTCATCTTGCACTAGCTTGTCTTCACGCATTACATAATCAGGTTGGTGGAAGTACCGACCCAGTGTTTACAAAGGGAACGTGCAAAAAGTCAAATGCTCTTTACAAAAAAAGTTAAAACAACGTTGTCGGACGATTTTGAAGTTGGAGGAGAAAATGAGATGGAGTTTTTCACCCTACCCGACCTTTCTGAACGCAGTACACAGACGAAGAGCTGACCACGCCTGACCTTTCCAACGTGATTACGTAATGCGTGAATTTGAGGACACACTTTGCAGAGCTAGTGCAAGACATGCAATTGTGGTTAAAAAGTATTTATAAAACGGATCGTTCCGGTCCTTGATTCCGTTCGAGGCTGTTATAAACTACTCTACAAACATACACCTTTGTTTGTGTGTTGCTCGGCAACCACTTTGTTGCAACCACAACTGTTTCTGAGGAACTACATTGTTTGGTGGAAGAATACTGGTTTTATTAATATCATTACACTTTATTTGCTCTGTTTTATTTTGTGAAACCTTACTACGTATATGAAATAACCATTTATAAAAGCAATAAGCCCTGTGAAGCTGTGGTTTACAGTGAATTTAAAACAGCTTCACGTTGTGCCTAACAACGCCCCTTAGCTTTTATAAATTCACTGTAAACCATGGCTTCTTGGGGCTTATTGCTTTAATGTTTATTTTTTTAAGAAAGTGACTGATCATTTCGCAAGATAAGACCCTTATTCCTCGGCTGGGATCCTGTAGAGCCCTTTGAAGCTGCACTGAAACTGCAATTTGGACCTTCAACCCATTGAAGTCCATTATATGGAGAAAAATCCTGAAATGTTTTCCTCGAAAACCTTAATTTCTTTGCGACTAAAGACAAAGACATGAACATCTTGGATGACATGGGGGTGAGTAAATTATCAGGACATTTTTATTCATGCCTTTTAGATGATGTTAACGTACAAGGTATCGTATGTATAAGACAAAAGATAAACTGTAACTTGATCTACTTGATTCTTTGATGTTAGAGATAGTTCACTTAATGAAAACTGTCATCATTTGTCAACCCTCATGTTGTTCTAAGCCTCTAAGACTTTGGTTAAGACTAAATCAAACCTGTTCATCATAGAAAGTGATTATATCTCTTCATGAGACTTAGATGAAACAGCACTATTAATATAAATTAACTTTACAATGCCGTTATGACCTTTTTGAATTATCTAGACTTTCACTGGAGGGACAGATACTTCTCAGGTTTCATTAAAAATATTTGTTTCAAAGATTAACCAGTTTAAAGTTTTTTTTTTTTTTTTTTTTTTTTTTTTAATTGCATGATGACAGAACTTTCATTTTTGTGTGAACTGTCCCTTTAAGGTATTTAAAATAATTGCAATACTTTCCTACTCCTCGTTGTACTTGGTAATTAATCCCTGATCAGAAATGTTTGAGCTCTCTGGATATTGCTGTTGTGGGACAGTAGGTGTCGTGTAGAGGTTAAGTTAGTCCTCTCTTCCTGTTGTAGGTCAGTGCTGTCCTGCCTCCGATGGCCCTCACTCAGGTGGCCCTCAGGAGCTTCCAGACCAGCGCTGTGAGCCGCGACATTGACACCGCTGCAAAGTTCATTGGAGCGGGAGCTGCCACCGTGGGAGTGGCTGGATCCGGTGCTGGAATCGGAACCGTGTTCGGTAGCCTTATCATCGGATATGCCAGGTAAGAGACAGTGAAATTTCATATTTTATAATGTGTTATATTATATTAATTTCACATCATTATATATTACGTGATATGTTACATTATACACTACCATTAAATATTTAGTTGTTGTTGTTGTTTTTTTTGAGAGAAGTCTCTTATTCACTAAGACTCCATTTATTTGATCAAAAATACAGTAAAAATAGTAATATTGTGAAATATTGTTTTCATTTAAAATAACTGTTTTCTATTTGAATATATCGTAAAATGTAATTTATTCCTGGGATTAGTGATATTTGGCATTTTTCAAATATCGGCATCGGCCGATAAGTTTGTCTGTTTGGCCGATGCGTTCGAGGCGGGACTTTTATTTTGACGACGCTGAGAGCGGCAGCGCCTGAACACAGTGCTCACATTCTCCTTGTTCGCGGTCGTTGTTAACAGTTCTGTCTAATACGGATAGAAGTCCGTCTAATAAACCGATAGAACTGTTAAACAACGGAATTCAAATGTATACAAAAAGTATTATAACGATTGCTTTTACAACCCTCTACGCACACCTTGGCAATATAATCGCCATTGGCTAGTAAATTTTTTGTTTACTCGCCAGACTGATATACTATATTTCACACACACACACACACACACGCACGCACGCACGCACGCGCGTGTTTACTTGGCTATCTAAATGGGGACACAATGGCTAATGTTAGACATTATTTAGTCGCCCAGAGTAAGATTTAGTCGCATATGCGAGTGATTTACTCGCAATGTAGAGGGTTGTTTTATATTATTAGTAATAGAAAGGCAAACATTATAATACTTTCTTGTTTGCCATCAGCATTCAGCAAATACGCATTTACATCATTTAAACAAATCTTTGAATGGCTAATGAAAATTTAATTTCACAAACTTTGCAAACTTAGTCAAATCCAGCTGTGAGATCTTGTGAAGTCTGCATGTGACCTGCATGATGCTTTATGCATTTGCCCACTGTCATATTCATATTTGTGGAAAATACTTTGTCATCTAAAGTATGTTTATTTTACAAAGTAATTTTTGAATCCATTTTCAAATGATTTAAAATTTCTTAAATATTAATTAAAATAAATACATTTATATCGGCCATCGGCCACCCTGCTTTCCAAGATATCGGCATCAGCTGTCAAAAAAACCAGTATCGGTCGACCACTGCCTGTGATCAAAGCTGAATTTTCAGCATCATTACTCCAGCCTTCGGTGTCACATGATCCTTCAGAAATCATCATAATATGATTTGCTGCTCAAGAAACATTTCTGATTATTATCAATGTTGAAAACAGCTGCTTCATATTTTTGCAGAAACTGATTGTTTTTCCATTATTCTTTTATGTATAGAAAAGAACAGCAGTTATTTGAAATACAAATTTTCTGTAGCAGTGTAAAAGTATTTGCTGTTACCTTTGGTCAATTTAATGCATCCTAGCTGAATAAAAAAGTACTAACCCTGAACTTTTGAACTGTATTGTATATCAGTTGCTGCCTGTTTCACCTCTGGCTAGTCAGTTAATAAAAAAACATATACATTTCAAAGATATTAAAGTCTTTTTGTATCTTACACTGTCAAGATGTTTGCAAATGTCTCTTCATGAATGCAAGTTTTAGTAAGATGGTTTTGTTATTTTGCAGGAACCCATCTCTAAAGCAGCAGCTCTTCTCTTACGCAATCCTGGGCTTTGCTCTGTCTGAAGCCATGGGGCTCTTCTGTTTGATGGTTGCTTTCTTGATCCTTTTCGCCATGTAAAAATCTGCTAGTTACGTGAACATTTAGTACAGCTGTAACTACATGTTTTTGCTGTTGCTACCAGCATGTCTGCTGCTGGTCTCTGTAAAAGAAAAATGTATGAATATAAAGTCCACTCTTAAAACAAATCATGTAACAATTAAAAATGGTTTAACTATTTAAATCGCCCAATCCTGTTCATGCTTATTGAATGAGGACGACAACAGCTCCATCGGTGCTGCTGGAATATCAAGCTGAAACTCACCATGGAAATAAACAACCTGATAGCACTTTCTGTACATCAGAATAGGGATGTTGTGAGTGTCTGTAGACTGTAAGGGTCCATTCAGATGTTTTCAGGGGTTAAACTGCTGGTCAATAGTATGACTGTAAATTTATAGCAGTTGGTTGAAAGCCAATTAAAACCTCTATTGCTTTTGTAAATTGCATTAAATAAATTTAGATCACAGTTTACCGTATTTTTGTGTTGTCTGTATTTATTTTAATTTACACAATATTACTTACACCGTTTTCATGGTTTACCAACACAACAAAATACGCTAAAGATGTTTCTAGCCTTGTGAAGAGAATTACAGTGAAACATATTTTGCTTATGCACAAGTATCATGCATTACATTAAAAAGCCATGCGTTAAATCTGATATAAACCAAGTTTCAATTTTGAAAACCAAAGCAGAGCTCATCACTCGCGAGATGTCAGTGTGCTTTCACTCTAGGGGTCAGCAGAGCGTTCATTTATCGCGAGATTAGAGTTTAAAGGGCTTGGCTCTGGGTCAAGCGGAGTGCCTAATTCTCGCGAGATTTTCGGCTCTTAAGGATTCAGCGGAGTTCCCAACTCTCGCGAGAGGTGGTGTAAGTGGGCTTTGGCTCTTCAGGGTTCAGCCTGCGGGTGAGTAAGCGCATCAGTGCATCATTATAAGCAAACACACCTTTTAAAACGAGCTTGCGGGTGACTAGCAGAATAGTCTGAATATGTAACACGGTGAAATGCAGTTTCATGACGCATTCAGAGCTTGTCGGTGTTTCTTTGTTATTAATATGGCGACGCATGCTAACACCTAGCTGAGGTCCCATTGAAATGAATGAGAGATGAGGCTAAGCATTGATTAGCCTGCTGAGACTGATGTAAACAATCTGTTTAGTGTTGATACAGTCCAGTTGTCGCTGGAAATACATTAAAGAAATGCAGGTTTGTGGTTAAAGACACACGCGCTTTGAGTTGAGCTCCGTGAGAATATAGATATAGAAGTGTCATTTAGAGGGATTTAAAGCTTAAGGTGACAATAGGTTGTGCTGTTATTATCAGTGAGCATCAGCCTGATCGTTACAGCACATTTCATTACTGTATGTGAGTTATTGAGTCGTTTAATAAACACATAGAGGCCAATGTCAAACGTGTAAATTTATATTATACAGATAGTGATGCATAATCCCTGTTATTAATCTTATAAAACCCTTATCTATGTCCTGTCAAACCTGCTTTGATAACTTAATCAGACACAACCCAAATCATTCAGATTTTAGTAGTGCAGAATAATAGTCATTATTGCACATTGGTTATAGATATTGAATAATGCTGATTGATATATAACTCATGTACTTGTGTTCTAAGGTGTGGTCTTAAGTCATTATGTTGTTGATTAATGACAGATTGCAAGTTTGACTTTTTTCATGTTGTCAGGTGGCGGACTGAAGCTGTGAATATGAGTGATGATAAACCGTTCCTCTGCACCTCTCCTGGCTGCGGACAGGCACGTGATCACTGTTACACACTTAAAGCACTAACAGATATTTTAAAAAAATTACCTGCTTGCTTTTTGTCCATTTACAGTTTCATATTACTATTTATGGTTCATGCATCTCCATAATGACTGTCTGTCTGCAACAGCGATTCACAAATGAAGACCACCTGGCGGTGCATAAACACAAGCATGAGATGACCCTGAGATTTGGTCCAGCACGCAATGACAGTGTCATCATCGCTGGTGAGTCTGAAAAGTCAGCGGTTCTTAATAAAAGCGAATGAACATGAACTCTTATTGTTCATGGGTTTATGGCTTTATGGGCTACTGTTGCAGACCAGACACCGACACCGACCCGCTTCCTGAAGAACTGCGAGGAGGTCGGGCTGTTTAACGAGCTCACCAGCCCGTTTGAGCATGACTTTAAAAAGGCCACGGAGGATGACATTAAAAAGGTAAAGATGTCAATTTGTTCTGGAGTTTATAGTTCAGCTGTATTATCATTTTGTCATTTAAAGGTTTGGGGTTAGTAAGATTTTTTTAAATGTTTCGAGAGACGTCTCTTCTGCTCACCAAGAAAAATTCAGTAAAAACCGTAATACTGTGAAATATTATTGCAATTTAAAATTACTTTTCTATTTGAATATATTTTAAAATATAATATATTCCTGTGATGCAAAGCTGAAGCTTTCAGCATCATTACTCCAGTCTTTAGAGTCACGTGATCCTTCAGAAATGTTTATAATATGCTGATTTGCTGCTCAATTATTAGTTCTTGTTATTATCATATAAAAAAAAAATAGTTGTGCTGCTTAATATTTTGTGACATTATTGTCACTTTTAAGCAAATGAATGAGTCCTTGCTCAATAAAAGGGGTTTTACTGACCCCAAACCTTTGAATGGAAGCTTAGGTGAAAGTCTCATAGGCACTGTAACATAAAAGGCCTCAAAGATAAAATCAAATCAAAATAGACCCTATTAGGATTGTTACAAAAAAAAAAAAAAATATATATATATATATATATATGGTCTTATTGTGCATGATACATTATTTGTACACTGTAAAATGATTTTTCTAAATTGTAAATACAACAGAGATTTTCGGAGTATGTTGTACAAGAAAATACTATTTCAGTCTTTCTTTTTCAAAATTTCAGCTTTAATTCAATGTGTTCCTTGCTGTTTCTGTCTTAATTATTTGTTAAATGTATTAGCAATTGTCAATTCTGTAGCAAAAAAAAAAAATCAAACTGTAAAACTGAAACTAACATAACAATTAACAATCTATTTAAATCTTTGATGGATAATCACATTTCACCCTTGCTGATTTTGTGATATAAATGCGTAATCAAACATTGATGTATGTGTGTTTATTGCAGTTGCCTCTGGACTTGTCTCCGCTTGCGACTCCTGTTGTTCGAAACAAAATAGAGGAGCACACACCCATTGAGTCCCACCGAGACAGTCCACTTCCCCACCCTGAGTCGACCACCACTGATGACAAGGTGAGACACAGGGCTCTGCCGTACAGAGAGCTACATAAACACTTGCAGTTATGGGTAGGACTTATTTTCGGTCCTCTGTGTGTGATAGTTACTTAGTGCTGGAAGTAGGGTTTTTCATGCAAGAGTAACTAGAATCAATTTAGGGAAATTGCACCCTGGAGGATCCTAGGCTCATATTGTGCAGAATTGTGTTGCCAATAACTCTTGGTTGCTGGGTCTTCCCTACCTGGATTGAACGTATAACCTTTGCGTTAGCAGTCCAGATTCATGAGGCTGCCTTCTCCCCTCATTCAACACATGAAAGGTGTTTGATGCTTGGTTTAGCTACTGAGTTTCAGATGAAAATACATTTCTTCATAGAGATACAAAAAAAAAACTAAATCAGTGGTAAACATTGTTTTTTGTAGCTCTATGAAGAAATCTCTCTGTCGGCCAGATTGTGTGAGACAGATGAGACTTCTCTCATAAGTCAGCAAATATGCTGATTCTGACTTTAAGATTGAAGCTGTAACAGCTCTAATGGATAAACATTCACTTTGAGCACTTTATGATCGATAGAAGCATGATTTGTTTACTCAACGTCTCTAATGTGAACTCTCAAAATGCTGAAAATATTCATATTTCTTAATTACAGTAGTTACTCTACTGTTCAAATGTTTGGGGTCAGTAAGTTTTTTTTTTTATATAAATAAAATTAATAAATTGATAAATAAACTGTAAGTTTTGATCAATAAATTGTTAAAATTGTAACAAAAATAAACACTGTTCTTTTGAACTTTCTATTCGTCAAAGAATCCTGAAAAAGCGCATCACATTTTCCACAAAAAAATATTAAGCAGCACAGCTGTTTTCAACATTGACAATAGTAGGAGATGTTTCTTGAGCAGCAAATCAGCATATTATTATGATTTCTGAAGGATCATGTGACACTGAAGACTGCAGTAATGATGCAGAAAATTCAGCTTTACCATCACAGGAATAAATTAAATATTAAAATAAATTTTTTTTTTTTAAAAATGCAAATAAATATCAAATAAATGCAGCCTTGGAAAGCACTTTAAAAAATGTAAAAACATAAAAAAAAATTTTTTTTTAAAAATTAAAAAATCTCACCTACTCTCAAACATTTGATTGCAGTAAAGTAATTTTTTTGAAGACACTGTCATCCATCAACTGTAAGGCACAACAAATCGCAGTCTCTTAATTCATAGGTGAACAATGTATGTGCTCCCTGTGGCTACTAACACAATCAGAAACAGTATGAGATCAGTAATGGACAGTGTAGTTTTGTGTGAGCGCTTGATGCAGCTTGGCTCTCGTGTGGTGTTTTCAGGAGGTTTCTTTGCAGCCGACCTCTCTGCCTCCATCCACTATAGTCCGTCCTGCCTCCCTCCAAGTCCCCAATGTACTACTGGCCAGCAATGAGGCTGGTGTTGTTATTCAGCAAGCTCTCCCATCTCCGACATCTAGCTCTGTTATAACCCAGGTCCCATCCTCTTGTAGACCGATAGTGTAAGTAACTTCTAAACGTGACTTATTCTGCTTCTCTCTTAGTTTGCCATCATTTTCTCCTTTTTACGCCTCATTCGGTGTTTCGTTTTCGTCACTCATTTACTTTATAAATGTTTGATTTAGTTTCAGTTGCTTGTGATCCATGTGCCTTTACTTTTACATCATAGAATTGACAAGTGCTCGGCCATCAGACAGGTTTTGTTTGATCCTTTTGTTTTGTTTCACACATCAATTGAAGAGAAAATTCTTGCTGTTGTTTTATGTTAATTTTTTTATCACTATCACAAGTCAACATGAATACACAACGATTGACACTGTTTGCTTTTTTAATACACATTTTTTTTGCACGATTCATCACAAAGGAAAACCTTTGCCTTTGTAATATGTAATTAAAATGTAATAACTTGCTCTGCCCTGAAACAGCTTTCTTTATCGTGACGTAACTTAATATTACCCTTGTTAATTTTAACCAAAAGCCAAATAGCTGTTGCCATTTTTTTTAGTTACTGTTGTAGGCAATGCTGCCTTTTTTTATGCTATTTATAGTAGTATAGTAATTTCATGTTAATATGAAGTAAATTAAAGTTGCAGTAGCAAATAACAATACATTTTAAAAATAAGCATTGTGAATGTGATTGACTCTTATTCAGCGCTGACTTTACTATTTAATTAATTCCTGATGGATAAATTTATGTCCCG